TCAAGGGAGGAGGAAAGCACAGCCTGTGTTCTAGAAACTGGAGGAAGAGTGGGTCTTCACCGGCAAAGTGGGTGTTGAGGCAGACCATCATCATTGTGCCTTCATCTGTCCTCTGCATCAAGTTAGGAGCCAATGAAAGGGTGCTGTTGCACCTGGTCTTGCCTGCCCCCACCTGCCTTTCCACCCACTGCTGCAAAGACAGCCATTCGAAAATGCACCTGTGATACCCCACCACTCGTCCTCTGGCCCCCTCCCCACACTTGATCTTACAGTAAAGACCAAGTGCCTGGTGTGGTTTGACTGCTCCCTTTGACTGCTCTCTTCTCCTCCCTGCCTCACTCTTGAGCTTCCCCTTTCTCCATTCCCCACCCACGCACTCTGAACCCCAGCCATCAAGCCATTCCTTCATTTCCTCTAAGGGAAGAGCCTTGCTTTGCTCTCACTGGCCTGAGACATCTTTGCTTCTGCTTGGAATGGCAGGCTCCTCGCTCTCCCTGAGCCAAGTCCTCACCCCTCAGGTCTCAGTGCAGCTGCTCCTTGTACACTCCTCCCACTGCTCGCTGGGAGTCTGTCCCTTCCACTTGCACTGCCTGTTCTTCCTTCCTTGTCACAGCACTTATCACTGTTGGCCTCTCCCCATAGCCTGCTGTTCCCCCGGTAGACTTTAACCTCTGTGAGATCAAGGACCACATCCATCTTGTTCATAGTTCCATCTCAAGCATGCTCAGAGTAAACATCATCAGATGAAAATGGCAAGCCATGTTTGCCTCTGCATTTTAAAAGTATTTGGCAAAGTTGGCTGGAAAGTGAAATTGGCAACAAAATGAAACCATTATTGTTGGACCTGAGAAGCCAAGGCTGAAATACCTGGGACTCCTGTTTTTCCTGTGGCTTGTTGGAAGCCTGAGGGAACTGTCTGCGTTCCTGACCAACCAAGCCCCCAGGTCTGTGTCCACAAGTGACTAATTATGTTTCACCTCAGCAGTGATTTGACCGTGGAACTTCCTGTACAATCAACAGACATAGCAGAAGACCAAAATAGTCCTTGTCTCTAAGATAGATTTGCACGAGGCTGAAACACCTTCCAATACTTACAGTACCTTATTGTGATTTTGGAACAATGGTAAATGACATTTCCACAGTAACTAAATAATGGGAAAAGCTAGTCATAGTTTTGTTTTTATTCAAGCATTGCAAATTTCCTGTCAAAAATATTCATTAACTGCAGTGATTTTTAAGGTGTTGATCAATTTTGACATTTATCCATATTTGGGGAAAAAGCTGGAGTTGAATTGAATCTTAGTCTTCTAGAAGTGGATGTTTGTGACCTAATTCATGGAATATGTTTATCTTGAGGGTTGTACGATGATAAAACACAGTTTTTTTAATCCAATTTTTTAAGGTAGGTGTCTCCTTTTTTACAACCCTTCTTTCATGATATAAAGCAAGGGTTTTTTTGTTTGTTTGTGTTTTTGTTTTAAACTGGTGTACATATCAGGTGGTTATTTGCCAGTTAGTCCAAGAGCTAATAAGAAAGTGATGTTTGGATTTAATTCAGTTCCATTAGGACAGATTTAAATTTTTGTGATACAGGGACTATTATTCTGGCAGTTGTAAGGGATTTTTGTGCGAGGGAGCAGCGCTTACAAAGAGGGCACTGTGCATGCTGTGTCTATAACTGAGCACTTTCACACTGCAATTTAGGAGGTGTGCAGCTCAGGAAATTGCTGGCTTTGGCTGGAGCATACTTTTACTGCAAGGAAAATTTTATTCGTCATTCAAGTAATTGGCAGTTTTAATACCTGTTCATAATTACCTTATAAACAAATGAATATATAAACCAAAGATTGTATGGCCTGTTATCTAACTTGTAGCCTTATTTGACCAATGTGATAGACACCTGTGGGCCTCCCTCTCCTTCCCCCCAAAAAACTAATTTGCTCCATTTATTGCAAAAATCTGTAGCCAAGTGTTTTCTTTCTGTTGTTAAAATATAAATGTAGCTGCGCTTACCCCAGACAGCCTGGAGACCAAAGCCAGATGCAGAGTTTGAAGGGAGATAGTGGTTGGGGCCGGAGTGGGGGTGCTGGAGAGAGGGGCACTGGGCGCTTCAGGGTTATTCCACTGTTTGTGGGAGGACATCCTGGTAATGCAAACATTTCGGTTATGTATTTAATAGAAAATTTTTGTCCCCCCAAAGCGTGGTTTTACTGAACCCACACAACCTGACCCTAAGGCCCTGTGGCAAGTCTCTTGGACTGAATTCGTCTCCGGGACCTAGGAATTGACTAATTGTCTCACTTGCATTACTCTGTACCTCACAGCTAGATCAAGGGGTTTATACCCTGGTGAATCCAGATGTGGGAAATGGTCAAAATCAGAGGTCATGGCTGACTTGACTCTAAACAAAAGTCTGTAAGGCTTTATGGCAGTCTGAGGGGCTTGATATTCATGACTGCTAAATCTTTTTTTTCTTTAAATACCTTATTATCACAAAGCTCTGTTCTTCATATATGCATTGTCTATGCTTGTTACCTTGTATAGAGTTATCTTTTAAAATCAGATAGATTCTTTTGATGACTTGGATTTTAAAGATCAAAAAAAGACAGCTCCCCACAGTCCTTAAAAATAACATATGATACAGGGTTAATATTTTGAGAAGTTTTGTTGGTTTGTTGTTTAAAAAAATGTGTAGTCCATTTTCTCCACTTATTTTTCTTTCTTATGGAGAAAGCAGCACTTGACATTTGCACGTATTTCAGAAGTTGGCCTTCTAACTCTGGTGGATGCTGAACACATGCACACCCTGGGGAGACCCTCTAATGTGCATAGGGGGCAAGTGCAGATTGGGAGGGGGGCCCTGTTCTGGGGCATTCTTAGTGTTGGCAGTGATGAGGGTTCAGTGAGCCAGGGTGGATTCCCATGTCAAATTCAAACCAGAAATTTTGCCATTTTTGCAAGGCAGAAGGTAACATACCTTTCTGGAGGAACATCTCCATGTAAGAATTGCCACAACATCCTTGATACTCTGTAGTCTATGAAATAAGCCTTAAGGGATTGCTTTGGGGCCAGTCCAGACTTATTCTGTGAGGGAGGTGGCTTGGGAATGCTTGAACTTTCTGTTAGGGTAAAAGCCCTGGTTTCTTGATTTTAAAATTATAGTATTGGTTACAGAGAAATTTTGTTATGATTAAATGGCATAATGTTTGAAAAGTGCTGAGCATACCGCTTGGCACCTAATAGGCGTTCAACATTGTTAGATTCTGTGTACTTTGCAAGATGCGGGGATAGAGACATATCCTTGCTTCTGTGAAGCTCAAGTGTGGCAAATAAGATCAGTAGTGTAAGTGCTATGTCAACATGCAGTATAGGATTTTGTGAAAATACATAAGAGGTACACCTAACTCATGAACCTTTTGAGACAGTGAGAGGCTTGTGAATTATAATAATGCAAAAGAGCTTAATAAACTCAAAGTGCTATAGAAATGTAGTTATTTGTAAGAAAGATACACATACGAGGTATATTTTCTAAGTTTTTTTGTTAAGTGAAGACTAACTGCACACTATGTATAGAAACACCAGTGTGTGACTAGTATAAAATACAGAGTTCTGCTTAGAGCATTCAGATTGTTTCATTGCTCCTTGTGTTGTAGACATGTTACTTTCCCCTGCCAAAGGATGGTCTAAAAAGGCCAAACTGCCTGATCTAGTATGACAATTAAGATTACTTACACATCTGTTTGATTCCCATTTCTAACAGAATCATCACTTAATGCTGAATTTCCCCTTGGAAACTATTGTATTAACCCTTTGCATTCGGATGTTTAGTGTGACTCGACACGGTTACCAAAAATTATAGAGATTAAAATTACTCTTTGAATGTATCAATAATTTGAAATATAAAAAAATCCAAAAATAAGTTTGTATGAAAAGAAACTCCAGTTTTTTATTCTGCTGCCGCGCTTTGTAAAATCTGGGGTGTTTAAAAAATTAAATTCTGAGTAGAATAAAGGAATCGAGAAAAAAGCAAGCGAGTGCAAAGGGTTAACCTTTTAAGAGCTTTGACTTGGCCTCTTTTTTTGTTTGTTTTGTTTTGTTTTCTGTTTGGTGTCCAGTGTAATACAACAGAACTTTCCATGATGGTAGAAATGTTTTGTATGTGTGGTGTCCCATTTGATAGCTGTCAGGTGCATGTAGCTATTAAGCACTTGAAATGTGGCTACTGTGACTAAGGGACTAAATTTTAACATTTAATTTGAATTAATTTGAATTTAAAGAGCCTCATGTGGCTAGTGGCTACCGTACTGGACATCATGGTCTGGTGTTTAAGACTGTTAATGTTAAAGCATGTTTTGATCTAATTATACCCAGGGATTATTCAGACTGATGTGCTCTTACGTAATATTTTTATAATACTGAAAGCCCAGGAGCATAACCACTAATATTGACGACTATGGCAGTGCATTGAAACTTGCAATTTCTTAAAGAAAAAGGTATCTCTTTAGCATGGCTCTAAGAAAGCCCCAATCTGATGAGTGTTTTAAGATCATTGGTACCTATAGTATGGGTGTATCAATTTTTCTCAAGAGAAGAATTAAAAATAAATTAGGAATCAAGAAGAAGGAATAGGGAATTAACTCAGCAGTGCCTGGTATGCCAACTCGGTGCTAAGCATGTCACATAACATAAAATGTCATTTAATAAAATGAGAAGGAATATTTATTGAGAAAAATAGCATAAAGAAAATTCAAAGTTAGCTTTAAGTGCTACACAGAACCCTATCTTTATATAGGAAGATTTTCATATATTCTAATATTATAATATGATTTATGACTTAATGAGTAAAGGGGCCGTAGTATCTCTGTTTAACTTTTAAAAGTACTGTTTAGATCAATCAGTTTTCCACATTTCTAATGAACAAGTTAGGAATGGAAAATATTTTTCTCCATTCAGATCGTTGTACTATTAACCCTGTTAACTGTGCTATCTTTTAATTCTAGGGCTGGAAACAGGATTGTTGAAATAGTACCTGAACATCTGAAAGAGTTTCAATCCCTTGAAACTTTGGACTTGAGTAGCAATAATATTTCAGAGCTTAAGACTGCATTTCCATCCCTACAGCTCAAATATCTGTAAGTGAAGTTTTCTTTAACAAAAATGTTCACCTGTAATGAAAGTATTGTTATAATGGAAATAATAACTTTAAGATTGTTGATCAGTCAAAAATGTAACTTATTGACTTGAAATTTGCGCTAAGCCCCAACAATCACAGTCTTTATTTGATTCTTATGCTTTGGGATTATAAAAATTTAGACATTCTTTGTTAGAAAAACTGTAGGGTGTAAAAAGTGCTGCTGCTTTTTTTTAAAAAAAAATCAAAATCAAACCATTGCTGTGTTTTAATTATAATTAATTTCATAAAAAGTAGATTGGTATCCATGATACAATTTTGTAACTTTTAAATAGTCCAGTCACTTTTTCCTCAGAAATATGTGTAAATCTTAATCACCGTTTTCCCATGAGGTCCTAAACAGTAATTATTTTAAGTGTTCATTGATGGTTAGGTTTTCCAGAGATTCTTTATAATGCAGAGGTTGTATGTACTTTATCTTCCAAAGAAATCAGAGAAGTTCATCTTCAAACTTTCAACAGGTATATCAACAGCAACCGAGTCACGTCAGTGGAACCTGGGTATTTTGACAATCTGGCTAACACACTTCTTGTGTTGAAGCTGAACAGGAATCGAATCTCAGCCATCCCACCCAAGATGTTTAAATTGCCCCAACTGCAACACCTGTAAGTAGATGCCCTCTTATTAATAGATATTATTTCCTCACCTCCACCATACCCTTGGTGTCTACTCCTTGAAATCCATAATGTGGCAAGAGGAGTTTAGAAACAAGGATGTGGCCGCCTTCCCTTGGAGAGCTGGAGTTGTAGAATCTCCAAATTGGAAAGAGCCTTAAATGTTACCTTGCGCCAGCTGCTGCCTGATAAGACACGCTAGATTGTTACTTGAAAGAGTGAACAGGGTAATCATTAAATGACCCCCTTACAGAGGTGCCATTGTGCTATCGAAGAAATCATGGGGACACTCAACAGCTGTGGTTTATGAGAATGATACCAGCAACTCCAGGAGGCTCTGATAGCTTTAGTGGCTGTAAAGAACAGTCTCGTTAATAATGGTAGAATGATTTGTGAACAGGCTTCTGCAGTTGGGGTCCTCAACCTTGGCTGCTCATTACAAATACTTGGGGAGCTTTTAAAAAATCTCCAGGCCACACCCTAGACCAATTATATTAGATCCTCTGGGGGTAAGATCCAGGCTTTAATAATTTTTAAAACTCCCAAGGTGGTTCCAGTGTGCAACCAAGTTTGAAAACTACTGCCTTAAAAAGAAAGCATTAAACCTGAAAAGAATTGTGAAAGATAAAACCAACTTTGTAAGCAGTTTGGATAGGACCTTATGTTTTAGCATAATACTCAATATTCTCCTTCTGGGTTATTTAAAAACAAATATTAATTCAATTGCTTCTATACTGAATGGACAATGGTTTAGAAGTTCAACTGCAGTCTAGTTTCAATATTTTTACTCCAAAAATGCATCACACATTCCAGAAGGAGATTCACTCACTGCTGATAAATTGAAATTCTTCTCCACTCACTGCTGATAAATTGAAATTCTTCTCAATAAAAATGTTTAGAAATTTAAAACATTCTATGTAATTTAATACTGACTAGTTTACTATCGTAGTACCAACACATTTTATTACCACCCCCAGAATTTGTCATATGAGCTAACTTGTTTAATTGTGATATCCAATGCAGCGAACTGAACCGAAACAAGATTAAAAACGTAGATGGACTCACATTCCAAGGGCTTGGTGCTCTGAAGTCTCTGAAGATGCAAAGAAATGGAGTAACAAAACTTATGGATGGAGCTTTTTGGGGGCTGAGCAACATGGAAATTTTGTAAGTGTGGGTTTCTCAATTCTCGCTCAGGTAGTATGATCACAGGATATTCAGTGAACATTCAATAGCTTTTATTTGAAATCTTCTGTTAAAATGTCATCATTCACAATCTCATTCATAATTTAGTATTCAGTTTTGTTTCAGGTAATGTAATTGAGAATTTATAAGTACATAAATTAATAAGCACATAAATTATAAGAATTTATAGTTTTTTTTTTTACCGATGTCTTTATATTACAAAAGCTAAACATCTAGTAACAATGGGAATATGTAGTAGGTTGTAATCATATGTCCTCTTTGAAGAGACTAGATAATGAACTTTTGCTTCTGCTTTTGATCCTTATTGTAAATGTAGGCAGCTGGACCATAATAACCTAACAGAGATTACCAAAGGTTGGCTTTACGGCTTGCTGATGCTGCAGGAACTTCATCTCAGCCAAAATGCCATCAACAGGATCAGCCCTGATGCCTGGGAGTTCTGCCAGAAGCTCAGTGAGCTGTGAGTTGCCTTTTATTCTCCTCAGGTTCGAGAGCAGGGATCATGCCAGAGCATGAGCTTCTTACCACTGATCTGTGAAATTTTCATAACAAAGTTTCCAAGGTGACAGCTTTTTTCACATGCAACCTAGTCGTATTTTTTGTTGTGATAAGTTGAAGCCAACTCTGCTGTTTTCGGTTCTGCGCTATGTTGACAAAAGCAACGATGGTTATTTCACGTGAAGAGAATGTATTTTTTTAAATTAGTGAGATTAGAAATAATGTTTACCTGAGTATTATCAAGGCAGAATTTTAAAATAAGGATTATTGGAGCTACATGTATTACCTGTCTTTTAGAAAATAAATCATCGTGTTGAATTGAAAAGTTAAAACTATCATTCTTTTTTTTAATTCCTTTTTTCTTTACAGGGATCTAACTTTCAACCACTTATCGAGGTTAGATGATTCAAGCTTCCTCGGCCTGAGCTTACTAAATACCCTGTACATTGGGAACAACAGAGTCAGCTACATCGCGGACTGTGCCTTCCGGGGCCTTTCTAGTTTAAAGACTCTGTAAGTTACACATTTTTGCTCTCAGGACAGGAACCTAATTGGTTCCTAAATGTGCCTACTTTTCTCTAAGCAGATCTCCTTTGTTGTCAAGGAAATGTATACAGCCTCCGAAGTAGTGTCTTAATCTTTCCCAGATCAGTTTGATTAAAATGGATCCATTTCATCCATGTGTGTTTCGTAAAGGGATTAGAAAGGACAGCGATCAGATTGTTTTGGTGATTACAATTAGCCTTCGTAGGATCTCCAGGAAATTGGTAACTGCGTTAAGAGGGAAACCAGTTTAAATCCGCTAGTTTTTTTCCTTTACAAAATACAGATTAAGAATTATTCTGAGAAGAAAGATATACAAAGGACAAGCAAGGAAGATACTTGTTTATCATGCCAGTTATATCCACAACCTGATCTCTGTCCGAAGAGAAAGTTGAATTAACTGACCTTTGAAAAATCTCTCAAATGTTAATTTAATGTTGTGCAATGAGCTTTTGGTTTTTGCTCTGTCAGAAACTTCTGCTCCGTTCACTATTGGAAGCATTACATAATTGAAAGACATGCTTGTATGCTTTGGCATGCTGCTGCTTGTGTGGTTGCAGCAGTGGTTTTAAAGTTTAATATATTTTTCATACTTTTCAAGTCTTTCAGAATTTAGTCATCTTGATAGAAGAATTAATAGAGCCAGAGTCAGCTGTCCTGATTTTGGGCAAAAACTTAAAATGATGTTGAGGGAGGCGGGCAGGGTGTAAGAGGTATGCTGAAGAGAGAAGCTTTCCGTTACTTTGGAAGGGGTGGAGATAATATGGAGAAGGATGAGGAATTTGTCACAAATGGTGTGCCGCCCGGATGCGGGTCATCTTAATTTTCTGAGCATTTCTCTAAAGATAAATATGTTGTTTTTTTTTTAAATTAGGGATCTGAAGAACAATGAAATTTCTTGGACTATTGAAGACATGAATGGTGCTTTTTCTGGGCTTGATAAGCTGAGGCGGCTGTGAGTATGATTTGCCTCCTAAACATAGCTAACTCTTAAAAATTTTGTTTTCCTTGGAGTCAGCTCCACAAGTTGACATTGTAAAGAGATGAGAAACAGGTGCTTAGTCTGGTTGCTACCCTTTGTCCTTTTCCCAGACGAGTGCTGTTATACAGGAGGTACATTAATTAGCTTTCCTTCCCTGTATGTAAGCTTTTTAATCAACACTTTAATTTGTGTAACTTATTTTAATATCTAGGTAAGAATTTTTAACTATTCTGAGTGCTTAGACTTTGGGGATTATCATCTGTAAAAAGGCAGTGCACTTACCTACCAACTTCAACATTTTTAAATCTTCAATGATGCACACTCCTCACAGGAACTTTTAAATGAAGTGATCCAGTGTCCATCAGCAATACCGCAGTAGGCTCCAAGTGGTACAGGATGAAAATACAGTTAGCCATAAAATGGTCTTGCAGGTGGCCAAATCACGTGTTTTAAGCCAGCAGCTTCCAAACTGAGTTCCATATAGCCGCAGACTCCTATGGGCGATGAAGGTATCCACAGAGGAGAAGGAGAAAACCTCCCCCTATTATCTGCTCTATTTATTAGCGTTCTGAGACAATTTGAGATAAAGTTTCTGCCTATTCCTAAAAGGACTGTGAAAAAAAAAAACCATGTTTTGATTTAATCAGCAGAGTGACTTATTGAGTACCTATTTTTGTTGGGCTCTTTGTTGAATGCTTTGCAAAAACCATTTTAAACTATGTTATTGAAATAGATGGTGTGGATACATTTTTATGGGGTATATTATTTAATTGAAGAAAATAGAATTGTTCACAAATGATTTAAAAAGCAATTTTGATTATGAGAGTTCCACCCCCAAAATGGCTTTTTAAATGAACTTTTCTAACATAATTTTTTTTCCAGAATACTCCAGGGAAACCGGATACGATCTATTACCAAAAAAGCCTTCACTGGTTTGGATGCATTAGAACATCTGTGAGTAGCTAAAATTTAGTTACCCTAAAGGCAATAAAAGATGGTTATTTATGTGTCATGAAAGATAAACTAGAATGTAATTTTGTTGGCATCCTCCCAGTACCATAAAATATATTTACACATCTCCTTATCATCTATCTCTCCATCTCTTTCTGATCCTGTCTGCCTACCTACCTATTTACCTGTCTATATGGAAGTATACAGGTATATATTTTCCTTTGTGTTTAAGGACATTACTATATTTCATTAATGGGCTTTTATTTGTTTTTCTCAAGTAGTGATATATTAAAAAAGACACACACAAATTGTGCACCCACTACATGTTGAGCATTATGCCACATATTTATATATATTGTCTCATTTAATCCTTACAAGAATACAATGCAGTAGCTATTAGTATCTTTAAGTTACGCAGAGGTCCTTAGAGTTAATTGATTCCATTGAACAGTTAAGAAGATGACTTGGATTTTAAAGATCAAAAGAGACAATTTCCCTCAATGCTGATGAGTAACTGACTTAAGGAGGGTTTTAATATCACTTTGAGAATTTTCGTTAGTTTTTTATTGCTGTTGTTTAATTATAACATGTATCATCCATCCCCTCCATTGTTCTCTTTCTTATTTTCTTTTGTTACCCATCAGTTAGCAACTGGCAGAAGCAGGACTCAAACCAGAGCTGCTTCTGCCTTCACTGTGTCCCTGCATCACACTAGGTGGTCTCTGTCCCCATTCTTAGTAACTCCTGGCACATATTTCTGAAATGACAGTTAGGATCTCAGCCACTAGGAACTTTCGGCTACTAGGAGAGGAAAACTAGGTAACCTTGATAGGTGTCAGAACCTGTGTGGGCACCATGTTTAAACTTATTTACCCAACCAGCTGCTAAGCACTTGTACAAAGTAATAATATACTATGTCTACTCTATTAAAGAATGCTCGTAGCTACAAGTTTTACTGTCTGTTAACTTGGACATAAGTTGCAATTTAAAATATACATTTGGTTTGTGTTCTCATTTGTGCTATAGATCAAGGGTCAGGTTTTAGCTGTTACCTGTAAACCACCCTGTCATCTTCTGACTGCACCGGTTTGAGGAAGATATGGATTGCTAACCATACTAACAGTGCAGCAGTTCACATTGTACTAGGATGATTGTGCAAAGCTGAGTTTTGGAAGGGTGGACCAGTGTTGCTGTACTTACTGAAACACATTATTTTCAAAGGAATACTAGCCAAAGGGGTTTGTCATCTGGCCCATTCCATTTCTGGGAAAGTGGAATTACTGGATCAGTAGAGTATTAATCTCTGCTTCAGTTTCCTTAAACCTCCCTTGACTCTCCCAGCTTTCTCTCTACCTATGTCTGGTCTTTCTTTTCCTGCCACTTCTCTCAATATTGCCTTTGCATACACTGACCCCTGTAAAGGAAGACAGAGCAGTCATCATTGTGATGAATACTTGAATTCTAACTGCTTATATCTGCTAGTTAACAAGAAAAGCAGCCCAGAATATTCTCCCAATTTGTAAATGTCCAGCCTGAAGTGTTTGTTTTAACAAGTACATCTTGTCTGAACATCTTCCTGCCTTTCTGTTCATGAGTCGTGTGTGGCAGATGTGGACTAATGGTTAAAAAGCATAGGTTTTGGAATTGGAAATGATTGTTTCAAGTCTTACCTTCCACTTTCGTGCTGAGCTAACTAGTAATTTTCTCTTGGGTTGCTGCAGAAATAAAAGCAGTAATACATGTAAATCACTTCACTGAATAGGAAGTATTGTATAAATGATGTTTTTAAAAAGCACAAATAATGAGGAATTTTGTATATTTAAACGTTACAAATAGTTGCTAATTTGAATAAGGAGAAACACAATAAAATAATATAGCAGCATAGTAACAGAACCTGTCTCTGAGACAGATACTCTCGTTCTTTAGCCCAAGCTCTGTAGTGGATTCTGTCGGAGTTGCCCCATTCATTATTTCAGCACACAGAGTTTTAGTGACTAACTCACCAGAAGTTTTGGTGACTTTTCGGTGAGTTTAGTTTTGGTGACTAACTCACCCAAACCAGAGTTTGGGTGGGCACTGTGGATCCAGACTTGGCCTGGAAGCACTAAATGACCATAGTTTGCTCTGATGCATTTGATTTGATTGTTTTTCAGAGACCTGAGTGACAACGCAATCATGTCTTTACAAGGCAATGCATTTTCACAAATGAAGAAACTTCAACAATTGTAAGCTTTTCTTTTTCTGCCAAGAATTTCAAATAAAACATAGAGGGGAAAACTGTCATATGTATCATCCTAGATTATGTGTCTATGAAAAGTGTCTTGCACATTCTTAACATGACTTAATTTTTATACCAGAAAACAAAAGGAGTTGGTTAGTTGTTTCCTTTGTTGAAATGAGGTTTTTCTTTCTGTCTTGAATTTGCAACTTAATTTTGTGGGACCAAATACACTACAGTGCCTAAATATAGTAGCCGTTTTTTAGTTGTAAGGTATTTTTGATGTATCAACACTTCTGTCTCAGTGGAACAATAAGAACACCAACAAAAAAAATCATTTCTTGCATTTTAAGATGGACTATAGAATATTTGTTACATAGGATATGTGTATTTAATTTCCAAATTGATTGCCTTATTACTATTTACTTGAGTTTAGTTTACTTGTAGAAATCTGCATTTCATACAGAACAAATTGAATGTAATTACTTTCCTCAGGCATTTAAATACATCAAGTCTTTTGTGTGATTGCCAACTAAAATGGCTCCCGCAGTGGGTGGCAGAAAACAACTTTCAGACCTTTGTAAATGCCAGTTGTGCCCATCCTCAATTGCTAAAAGGAAGAAGTATCTTTGCTGTTAGCCCAGATGGCTTTGTGTGTGGTAAGTATACGTACTGCTCTTGCCTTTTATTCATCCTTATTTCCCTCCCATTTATCCAAATAATGGTCTTGAATATATTTGTGTTCTTTTACATAAAGCTTTCATTTCTGCTGAGGTTGACAAAAAATGGATCTATAGTTTGCTGATTGTTTTAATTTTACAGATGGGAAAGAGAGTTTTCTAAAATTTGCTTCATCTTTGTTTTGGCATCAGGGTGGTTTGGTGGAAAGAGAATGAAATTGGATCTTGGGAGAACTGAAGGATCATCCCAGACCTTCCATTTAAGTTAAATTCCCTACTTAACTGTGCATGAAACAGGGACTGTGTTATCTGCTCTTCTGAGCACTGGGGCTCACATGAAAGAGAAAATCATTAACTAATGATCTATGGGTTCCGTAAAAATTAACTATCAGTGGGTAAAGCATTACAGGTAATAAGACATTTGAATTTATCATGAATAATTTTAAGGTCCATTGTTTTAGCATCCAAGAATCTCGGCATTAGAAGTCCACTTACCTAAAGTTCACATAGCTAGTTAGTAGCAGATCTTGATTTTAAAAAAGAAAAACTTTCCATCTCTAGTGCAGTTTTCTGTCTGCTGCACTGCTGTTGCTATTAGCTGCTATGGAAGCCTTCATAATAAATGTGTGTATAAAATATAAAACCAAAATTTGCTTATATTTAAGTATGTGTTCAGATATTAAGAACCTTATTTTACATGGGCATTTGAAATTTTACTTAAAATCGCCTTGTCTACAGTATATTTTTTTAGATTGCAGCATTAAACAGAGCCAACAGTTTTTGGAAATAAAACCTCTGATGTAGTTTTTGGATGTGAATGAGCTTTTGGCATTCATCTGTAAGGGCCTGTGCTGTTCCTTTCCCATGGTTCTTGTTTCACAGTTCTCTAGTCCTAAGATACAAACTCCCGATTACTGTGAGACATATGCATATAGTATCCATAGTTTTTTTTTCACTCGCTTTATTATGGATATGAACATTGATTGATCAGATGAGAATTTTAGAATAATACAGAAGAAGAAACCACCTTGATTACAGCATGCAGGCATGGCATTGAAATATAGCAGCGTTGGTGTTATCAGAGCACCCCCCCTACACCCTATTCTTACATGTAAAAGTTATTTTTTCAGAGTACCCAAACAATACACTTTGATAGATCCAAGATGTTTCTTTCTGAGTTTAGACCATCTCTGAGAAACTTAAGTTCAAAAAGGTAACTTTTCCAAAAAGTAACAGAGAACTAAAAATAACTGTTTAGAATGAAAGAGTTGCTTAGCAGTAATTATAATGTAGTCTTGACAGCGTAGCACAGAGGCATGATTGATTGGCTGCTCGAAACTCGAGGCCGAAGCCAGCGTCTTAGAGATAGTTTCGGAGATGCTTTTTCTTTTGCTACAGGATTTTTCTTTTTTTGGCTCTGCTTGAATTACAGCTTTTTAACATTGATTGTGTTTTTGGTAAATGGGGTGTTAATTGTCTTCTTTAGTGATATTGATTAATCACAATTGGTGTTTGATTTCTTACTTTTGCTGTTTCTTATTTATGGAGAACATGGGGACAATCATAGCTCCTGATAGTAGCATTTAAAGATGATGATGATCCATGAGCCTGGAAGTTTTTTAACTGCTGTCATCTTATATTTATACAAAGCGCAAGGGGTCTGGAATAAACTATGCCTTTTCTGATAGTTCCAAAATATAACAGTCTCCTCTCAGATAATAATGATTGATAAGTAGGTCTCTGTATCTATTTGAAATGTAAGAGTTACTTTCAAAATACTCTCCCAAGGTATCATTTCAACACTGGGACTACTGGTATTTCTGTAAAGCACACAGAAAGGATAAAGCCTAAGCATTTATTTGCTTTGCATTTCTTGGTGTTCAAATTTGAGCAGCATTTGTACTCTTGAGCCTTAACATGGTTTTGTTTCCTCCTTTCCATTTTGAACAGATGATTTTCCCAAACCCCAGATCACGGTTCAGCCAGAAACACAGTCGGCAATAAAAGGCTCCAATTTGAGTTTCATCTGCTCAGCTGCCAGCAGCAGTGACTCCCCAATGACTTTTGCTTGGAAAAAAGACAATGAACTACTCCATGATGCTGAAATGGAAAATTATGCACACCTCCGGGCCCAAGGTGGCGAGGTGATGGAGTACACCACCATTCTTCGACTGCGCAACGTGGAATTTGCCAGTGAAGGGAAATATCAGTGTGTCATCTCCAATCACTTCGGCTCATCCTATTCTGTCAAAGCCAAGCTTACAGTAAATAGTATGTGATCTGACTTTTCCTTTAGCATTTAAAGACAACTTTTAAAAACAGAAAGCACCTGGCTTCCTCTCCCTCTCGTTCTTAACCCCGTCCTTTCCTGACAGTTTCCCTCCTGACTCTTCCTGTTCCTGCTTCTCCGCAAAATTCAGATTCTTAATTATTTGTGTCTAAGCCAGCATTTATTGTATTGATCACACTGTACTCAGTGTGATAGGTAACACAGACATGAACCAGACAGGTTTTGCTCTTTGGGAGCTCACCATGTATTATGCTGATGTGGGAGGCCACAAAGTATAGAGTTAAATGTACACTGCCTGTAATTCAGAGATCTGGGTGTGAGTCCTTCCACTCTTGCTTCTGGCTGTATGACTCTCAACAGGTTACTGAGTGTCTCTCTGCCTCCGCTTCTCCATCTTACAATTAGAGATAAAGGGACCTACCTCATATGGAGGTATTATCATTAAATAAAATAGTGTATGTAAAGGACTTATCAAAATGCCTGGAATACAGGTAGTGCTCAGTAAATGCAGTCCATGTTAGCTGCTATTAATAACAGTATATCACTGTTTGCCTTGTGTGAAAGGCATACAATTCACTGTAGGATACTCACCACTTTGTCCTTTAACTATTTGTATCTGCCATGGGAGAATATTTTGGATATGATTTATTAATGCAATCACTTCACAAATAATTTCTGAGGCCTGGCACATAGAACAGTTTTGAGTTTAAATTGTAGGAGAAAACACATGTCTTAAAGTCATGTTAGAGCCACGAGTAGGGAGTTTAAAAAACATGGATGAAGTGAGTGGTCAGGGTACAAAGAGATTAATTGATATGCCCAGGATCTCACAGTTCATTATTGGGGAAACTAAAAGGTGGCCAGAAAACAGCAAAGAGCTTCAGTCTAAGGATCGGATTACCTGTGTTTCATCTTGATTCCATCATTTCAGTATCTGTGTAACCTTGAGCAAGTTTTTTAATCTTTCCATCTCAACTTTAGTTCCCTTGTCTTTAAATTGGAAATAACCCCTGCCTTATCTATGTTAGGGACATTTGTAAGTATCAAATGAAAAAGTAAAAGGGAAGGCAAGTGAACCTCTAAAACGCCATAGTGCTAATGCCCATGCTGTTTTTCTGGTTTCAGTGCTTCCCTCGTTCACCAAGACCCCCATGGACCTCACCATCCGTGCCGGGGCCATGGCGCGCTTGGAGTGTGCTGCAGTGGGACACCCAGCCCCGCAGATCGCATGGCAGAAGGATGGGGGCACGGACTTCCCAGCTGCACGGGAGAGACGCATGCATGTGATGCCCGAGGACGACGTGTTCTTCATCGTGGACGTGAAGATAGAGGACATCGGGGTATATAGCTGCACAGCTCAAAACAGTGCAGGAAGTATTTCTGCGAATGCTACTCTGACTGTCCTAGGTAGGTGAATTTTTTAAGATTCTGTGGTATCAATCAGTCTTGAAGATACTAGCTCACCCAAGCGCCCTAAGTGCCAAAAGTTGTGAGCATGAGAGATGAAGATCCGTAGCACACTAGGGCACTGCCTTTTCCTAAAAAGAACAAATGGCTTCTTAGAAGCTTTGAAGTCGGCGAGTGCCTTCCATCCTCAAGTCCGTGTCGGGTGAGATGAATCCGCCCCTGCATTCCGAGGAGAGGGGATGAGTAAAAGCTTTGATGCTTTCCCTTTTTGAAGGGATCACCCTCCTATGCTCTATGTGCAGTCTCTACAAATAGTCTTAGCAGTATAAAGAACATGCAAGAAAATAAATGTAGCAACACATTGGGAAGGACCTACTCTATTTTCTCAGACTACCATGCCATTCTGGAAGTCAGAGTTCTTTCTTCATCTTTTACATAAACAAATGCTTGTTAAAAATTTGAGCATGTTTACCATTCATGTATCTTGGAAAGAGTTAAGCTAACCTATTAAGATACCAAATAATACAAATAAATTGTTGTCAGAATTTAGTATAGGCCTAGGCATCTGGCCCTATAAAGTTTTATTTTAAGAACTTAGGCATTCTGAATTTTTTATCCATCAACATATCTATGTCTGAAATTATTTTTATACTTTCTATTTTTTAAAAAAAAGGTTTCATTTGCCCACTCCCCCACCCACCGCTAATTTTCTAATGTTGGCAAGAGTGAGGGAGGTTGAGATAAAAAAAAAACAATAAATATTATCCTTAACTGGTATTATGAGTAAATGACAGCAGAATAATGAAATCCAATGTTGTATATGAAATATACTGAAACCCAAATGTTATATATGTTTAGGCTCTTGAAAACATGTCTAAGAAGTTGTGGGAGAACAAAATTTTAGGTTTCAATATGAACAAATTCAAGTGCTGGGTCCTATGTTATGGAAACCGAATTTCATCTAGGAAATTAAGAGCATAACTTGTCATTTCAGAAACGCCATCGTTTTTGCGGCCTCTGTTAGACCGAACCGTAACCAAGGGAGAAACGGCCGTCCTGCAGTGCATTGCTGGTGGCAGCCCTCCCCCCAGACTGAACTGGACCAAAGATGACAGCCCTTTGGTGGTAACGGAAAGGCACTTTTTTGCAGCGGGCAACCAGCTGCTCATTATCGTGGACTCAGATGTCAGTGACGCTGGGAAATACACGTGTGAGATGTCTAACACCCTTGGCACTGAGAGAGGGAACGTGCGCCTCAGTGTGATCCCCACTCCTACCTGCGACTCCCCTCAGATGACTGCCCCATCGTTAGACGATGACGGCTGGGCCACTGTGGGTGTCGTGATCATAGCCGTGGTCTGCTGTGTGGTGGGCACGTCGCTCGTGTGGGTGGTCATCATATACCACACACGGCGGAGGAATGAAGATTGCAGCATTACCAACACAGGTGTGTAAACAGGAGCTTGGCACAGGCTGAGGCAGTCATGTGTAGTTGTGGTTCTGCAAATACTTCCAGAATGTGTGTCTTGCAGTCTGAATCCGTCTCTGAAGTGTGACTCATTTGTTGCAAGCTACAGAAATATGGTTAGCTAAAAACAACACTCTGGCCCCAAATAAAGGTGATGTTTAAAGATTAGTAGTTAATACTTGTTAAAACCTCATGAGAATATCCTGTTGGCTGTGAGGTAAAGTCCAAATCACAGAGTAAAATGGCCTGACTCCCTCACAAGCTAGTGATGGAGAACCAGGAACAGCCCTCAGTGCGAGGTTTACTGTCCACAGTAGTCGTGTGTTTTGTCGTGTGTGCGTATGTGTGTATGCAGCTTGGTTTTGTTATTAGTGCGAGGGGAGTTGTGACTTGTTTAATATGTGCAAAGGCAGATATCGATTAATGATATTAAACAAGGAATATGGCAGGATTCACACGTAATTCAGGAACTTAGATACTGTCTCATGAAAATGCTTAAGTTTTTATCTTTCTAAACATTTGTTGTTTTTGTAATTTGGGAGGTGCATCCAGCAGCTGATAAAGTAGAAAGTCTACCTAATGCTTCCCAGAGTGGCAAAGCCATCATTTACCTTTCCTGAATGCTATACAATCAAGATGGTTTTGCCAGAGTGGATCTCCCTTGATTTGATTTATACAGAAATCGAAATAGTCTGTCCTGTTCATCTGGGAAGCCTGTGGGACAATTACGATCATTCTTGGACAGTGGAATGCTGTTGTTTTATTACAGATGAGACCAACTTGCCAGCAGATATCCCGAGTTATTTGTCCTCTCAGGGGACGTTAGCTGACAGACAGGATGGGTACGTCTCCTCAGAAAGTGGAAGCCACCACCAGTTCATCACATCTTCAGGTGGTGGATTTTTCTTACCCCAACACGACAATAGTGGTAAGTGTTTAAAATGTATATGGGCTGTGGTTGTTTTGTAATCGTATGGTGGAAGGCTCCTCAGATATAATATTTTCATAAGAAATCAACTGATATTTAGGACTTGGTTCAAGGTCACTAACAAAGCTGAAATTGTATAGTTCTGTACTCTTCTCTTAAATACTAGAAAAAAAAATCTTTGTTTTTGACACTAAAAGACATATAGGTTAAGTCATATTTAATTCTTCCATGCTATGTAATATTTCCATTACATCATAAATGTTCTTTGGCCCTAAATGTTTTCCTTCCTTAAAAGACATTCACTGGTTTCATGCATGGTTTTCAAAGTCACACAGTTTATGTCATTCTGTTAGAGAAGTCTGCCTTTGACCCTTGCTTTAAATGCTACATGGTTTTGAGCACAGTAGTGGAAGCAGCATAATACAGGAGTGCAGGCCTGGCTTAAAATCCACTTCTGCCACTCACTCCTGTACCATTGGGCAGCTAGCAGTACTTCCCGATTATGTGGTTATACAAGTGAAATGGAAGTGGAAAACTACATGGTGCTTGGCTCATGTAAAGGGCATAGGAAGGGGGAGCCATCAATGTTATTTTCAAACATTTTCCCATCTTTTCCCATAAGCTTTTATTGACTATTTTCTCTGTGCCAGACATTGTAGTTGGGAGGGCAGTATATTTTCAATTTCACAGTTTAGTCTGTGGGTGAGATAAACAATTGAAAACACAATTACAAAGTGCTAGACAAGTCAGTCATGGAGGGTGTAGACCTTAGAAGACCTGAACGTAAAAGTGAGTATTTTGGTTAGACCCATTTGGTAGCAAAGCACAGAGACTCAAGTTTGTTCAAAAATAATGAGATTAATGGGAAAGACACTTCTGAAAACCTAAAGGGACAGAACTGGAACATAGTAGTGCCAAGCCACCCAGGTGCTAGAGCTAGAGAGGGGTCTGTTCCCAGAGCCGCGCCGGAGGCTGCCGGCATAACCGTGTCACCTTCTGCATATCTATTTCTCTCTCAGAACACCCCACCATGCCCTGACTGCCCAGTTTCTATTTCGCCGGCACGTGGCCCATCATGACATCTCTAACCCTGACAGTATTGCTTATTTTTCAACTGCTATGTCCACTACCAACTGGCATAACATTTCTGGGTTGTTTCATTCAAAAACCCACTAGATGATTTTTTTTGGCTAAGCTCATCTTTGAACTGGGCACTGAGAGGCCATTGGTCAAGTGTCAATCCCTGGTTCTGGTCATCTGTGACCTTTTGTAGGAAGGGGGCAGTGCTGATGGTGTGCAGTTCAAATCATGGGTGCTTTGGCTGTAGGATACACACACAGATAAGCTTCCATCAGAGACTGAGTGAGACCAGCAACAAGGTCAGCACACCCAACACAGTGGTTAATCGAGTCCTCTTTTAGTGACCTATTACAAATATACTCAATTAGTAATCCATAGGCTTCAATAAATTTTTTTAAAACTTACTATAAATTTTTGCAGTTTTCTGTATGATGTTCTAGCCAAATATTCATCTGTAAAATTTTTTTCCATTCTATATGGAAAATACCAAAATTGGAGAGAATGTTGAATGGCACTTGAATAGAATTGGTTCAATGACTGAGATTTCTGTTTTAAAGGGACCTGCCATATTGACAACAGCAGTGAAGCAGATGTGGAAGCTGTCACGGATCTGTTCCTTTGCCCCTTCCTGGGATCCTCAGGCCCTGTGTATTTGAAGGGGAACGTGTATGGCTCAGATCCTTTTGAAGCCTATCATACAGGTGTGTGGTTTTCTTGCCTGAGTATTGGTCTGTTTCCTAGAGCAGTGGTCCCCAACCTTTTTGGCACCAGGGACTGGTTTCATGGAAGACAGTTGTTCCATGGACCAAGGGGTAGGGGGTTGGGATGTCGTAGGTGGAGGGGAGGTGATACAGAGCTGGGGCGGTGATACGTGGCCCGTTTCCTAAAAGTCCATGGGCTGGCACTGGGCCAATGCCCGGGGATTGGGGACTAGGATTGTAGTCCTAGAGAGACCTCTAAAAGTGCTGAGTGTTATCTTCTTCTGATATTGTCCTCAAATTAAAAAGGTTGCAGTCCTGATCCAAGAACAGCTTTAATGGAGCACTACGAGCCCAGTTGCGTAAAGAAAAAGGAGTGCTACCCGTGTTCTCATCCGTCAGAAGACTCCTGCGAACGGGGCTTGAATAGCACAGGGTGGCCTTTGCATGTGAGGAAGCTGCTGGGCACAAGTTACTCTCAAAATGAAGGACCTGGAATGAAAAATGTGTGTCTGAACAAGTCCTCTTTGGATTTTAGTACAAGTCCAGAGCCAGCATCGATTACGTCCAGTAATTCTTTCATGGGTAAGTTTATGAAATTGCCAGGTACCTTGTCTTAGGACCCATTCTGCACGTTGCATGCTGAGGGAAGTGGTGTGAGCCTTGAAAGTCGCCCTGGGGAAGTGTGCGTGCTTTAGTGATGCTGCTGTGACTCGTGAGCACAGTGTTTCTAAAAGCAAAGTCAGAGGTGGGGATTTTACTTGATGATGTGTTTAATCTATAACTAAGCCTTAGGAGCTTTCTGGGTAGCACTGTGTGTGGCATCGACTGTGAGATGAGAGTTTGGGGAGTGACTTAGGAGCTCAGCTTGTCAGCCATGTGGAAAAAGTGGTTTTGGGCTCCCACAGTCTTTGGGGTGGAGTTGTGTGCTCTGCATAATTGTGGTTTGGTATGTCTAGTGGCTTCTAACTGAACCCGCAGCAGAAGGGTGGAAAACAGCACCCTACCTAGCAACCGCTGCTAGTCAGACAAGCTGGACTACCTTTGGCAAAGGAAACCATTGGAGCCTAAAGCTCACGTTGGTGGTGGTAGATGCTGGCTGGCACCAAGATCAGAGTGTAGATTATTTGGTCTAGTGCATGGGGACAATGGGACAGAAGAACTGAGATCATCCTTTGTACTGAATGGAGAGAAACAGAAAAATAAGCCACAACTTCCCTTGTGTAAAAAAAAAAAAATAAAAAAAAAGTAGAATCTTAAAATATTTTATCCAGCTTTTAAGAAATTTTATGTTCTTTCACAGTATAATTATTTATATTCCTTTTTGAAAGGAATGAAAGTAATATATTTTGTATGACTGAGGCATGCATTTGAGTTAATTGAATAATATTTTGCTACAGTTAATGAAGAAAGGGCAAGATACAGGATTATTTTGGAAGAAACTTTTTTATATTCAGGCACAATTAACTTGTATGTTATTATTCAACATGCCCTTCACAGAGAATCGTGTGCTCTCAAGTACCAAAACAGGGATTTGGGGGAACTTATATTGGGGTACTTCAGAAACTTCATTGCACCGTGGCTAATATTATTCTAGGTCAGGCATCCTCAAACTACGGCCCGTGGGCCACATGCTGCCCGCCTAGGACATTTATCTGGCCCACTGGGTGTTTTTGCCGCCACTGCCTGTCCTGCTTAGCAGCCGACTAGTCCCCGGCCCACAGTGCGCACTCTCCTACAGTCTGAGGGACAGTGAACTGGCCCCCTATTTAAAAAGTTTGAGGACTCCTGCTCTAGGTCATGAGAAGTGATAAAGAATGAATGCATTCCTTCAGTGTATGTAAATAAGAAGGAATACAAATGTCTTTTGCTCCATTCTGTAAGTAATCTATACAGATATACATACACCTGCATACCATCACGTGTTATGCATGGTCACAGAATAAGATGCTTCTTTGTTTGAAATGGATTTTGTCGACTTACATGCTTGAAAAAGGACCCATGTGCTCAAGGGGATTCTTTCTTTCAGGTACTTTTGGAAAACCTCTCAGGAGACCTCACCTCGATGCCTATTCAAGCCTGGGACAGCAGCCGTCAGATTGTCAGCCAAGAGCCTTTCACTTGAAAGCTCATTCTTCCCCAGACTTGGACTCTGAGTCAGAGGAAGGTGGAAAAGAAAGGACAGATTTTCAGGAAGAAAATCACATTTGTACCTATAAACAGACATTAGGAAACTACAGGACTCCAAATTTTCAGTCTTTTGACTTGGACACATAGACTGAATGGGACCAAAGAAAAGCTTTAACATACTACCTCAAATGAACTTTTATTTAAAAGAAAGAAAATCCTATGTTTTTAAGTGGAGTTATGTATTTTAAAAGGATAAAATGCCTTATTTATGCAGATGAACCAAAATTACAAAAAGTTATAAAAATTTTATACTGGGAGTAACTTTCATATAAGAATACCTTTTTAAACTACTTTATAACTTTGTTTTATGCAAAAAAGTATCTTATGTAAATTAATGGTATAAATTCATGACTATTTTATGTATTTTTATAATGCCAGATTTCTTTTTATTGAAAATAAGTACTAAAGCCTTTTAAATAATACCTGTCTTGTATCTTTTTTGAATAGAGTTTACTTCATTTTATTTTGCACATTATATTTAATAAAATGCGTCATTTTGATGCCAAGCCCATTTTATACAATAACAATTTTTATTGTTTTCAACACGTTAGGCTTAATGAGTTCACATTATAATGTCTCAAATGGATGAAAATTATATTTAGCCCACTAAAGTATAAGTAGAAATGACCATTCTTCCTACCTGCCAGGATTGTTGTAATACAGATTCAAATCAGGTTGGTGTATGTGAAATCACAACGTAAACAAGAAGGAGCAACAATGATTTGAGACAATGTTCATTATTTCTAACTCTACAAAGATTTTTTATTATAGTCTGGTGTAATATTGTACTGACCATTGTTTCAATCACTGCTCAATCCATGTTTTCTTAACTGTAATGCCTAATGTGATCTAATGCTTATCTAAATAGTTTTGCTTTACCATCTCTTTTATTATATGATTTATTGCATATTTCTATATCTAAAATGGCTATAGCAGAGGTGAATTTTATGTACTGTTCCAGGTTATGGTGGGATGCTGGTATATTTTTTTCTCTTATCTAAGCTAGTCAACATTTAAGAATTAACAAAGTATTTCCTTAATTTGGTCATCACAGCTCTACTTACTAAAATGTATCAAATCTAGGGCCGTGCGCGGTGGCTCACGCCTGTAATCCTAGCACTCTAGGAGGCCGAGGCGGGCAGATTGCTCCAGGTCAGGAGTTCGAAACCAGCCTGAGCAAGAGCGAGACCTGGTCTCTACTATAAATAGAAAGAAATTAATTGGCCAGCTAATATATATAGAAAAAACTAGCCGGGCATGGTGGCGCATGCCTGTAGTCCCAGCTACTCAGGAGGCTGAGGCAGGAGGATTGCTTGAGCCCAGGAGTTTGAGGTTGCTGTGAGCTAGGCTGACACCACGGCACTCTAGCCCAGGCAACAGAGAAAGACGCTGTCTCAAAAATAAATAAATAATAAATAAAATAAAGTCTATCAAATCTAAACACATAAAACTATTTAAAACATTTGTTTTAAACTATTGGGTGACAACTAATTACATGACTGGCAGAAATTACATGATAGAAAAATAAATATGATCGTATTTTCAAAACTAGTTTGAAGTCATTAAATGGAACAAAGAAGTTTAATAATTCAGGTGATAGAACTGTGTTTTCTCTTAGTAATTTCTTGTTTTTATATGTAAAGAAAAACCCTCTTGCTCAAGATAAGGTAAATTGGCATGAAAGGAGTTAATACAGCACATTAAGCTTTAAAATCTAACCATGAAAAGTGTGAAATTATGCCATTGTCATTTCTTTTGAACTAAATTGAAAGCAGCTATTAGAAAAGCAGATTCTTCTCAGAGGTTATGTTGGGGGTAAAGTTTTCTTAGTTTAGAGCTTTGTTGTTTGTGAGCCAAAAGCCTGGAACCCAGATTGCAGTAGATTTTCCTCCAATGTAGATGCCAGAGTCCAAAACAGGAAGTCGTTCCTTCCTCGGACCACCAAGTGACTCAGTACAGAGAAGTAAATTCGTATGTTTTGGCTTGATCATATTGCCAGATTTTCAAGATTTTGTTGTTAATTTGTCTTCCTTAGTGCCAGATGTGTTGCAAACATCGATAGGGATCTTTTCAGTGATTATGAATTTCTTTGAAAGGATTTAATTTTTCCATACTTAAAGGTTTAAATCACTAACACTTGAAATTCAAGAATTAGGTTCACTCTACATCAATAGGATTTTGCCCTATTACTCTGCTATGTGCTGAAACTTGTGGGTTAGATCTTAATTGTCTGAGAATCAGGGGGAACTTGATTTCTCTTTGACTTTTGCAGGTAAAAGAATATGTAAGATTCTGAGACTCCATATTGAATTAACAAAATGAATCTTGTAGGTATTAAAATATCCCAAAATAAAATAGACTCAAGGTAAAAAGCCAAAAGTAGATAAATGTCAAGTCATTTGACTATTTATTAGGAAGAATGCATGCAATTTTCAGTTTAATCTTCCCATGCTTTCTGATATAAGAACAGTTCGTGTATAACATATATTAATAGATGTTCACACAACTTGTTTTTATCTTCATTCCATTATTGACACTAATGATAAGATACTGTGTATGATCCTGTTTTTTAAGATATTGGGGAAGAAATATCCCTTAATGTGGCAACATTTTATAAAAATTAAGTGTCTGTGGAACATGGACAATTTACTTTCACAGCCTTCTTACAGAGGGAGAACCAAAAGTTATTTTTCAGTATAGATCCAATTATCCTATTTTTTGAAGATTGATAGAAAAAAATAAAAGTGGTTTGGTGTTTCTACACACTTGAGGGGCTTTAGCCCTTTCGATTCAATATGACAGGAAATAATTTATAACCAGTATTACAATAGATGTGATACATTGGTATTTTCCAAAGAGAATGAGAACCAAATATGGTTGCAAAATGCCTGCTCTGTCCTTTCTGCTCTTGGAATCTGCAATGATTGGACTTGTGTAATAGGATAATTAAGAAATCACTGTTAAGACATCATTCTATTAACACATTGAATAACACAATGTCCTGCCAAAAAACAAGAGTCTTCAAAGAGAGGTGCAGTTTCTTGATGAATTGAATAATTTTGATACTTCAGAGATATCTAGTTACCAGAATTTATCTTTTCCATGAGGCATTTCTTAATAAGTACTGAAACAGAGGTTGCAGGTTTGAACTAAGATGGCACAGAAATATTTTCATTGGTATTTTAATAGAGAAGAGAGTTTGCCCACATATATTTACTGAATTATCCCAATATTTGGGGCCATTTATGTTTTTTATTTTTTTTTTGGAGAATTCTAATACTGGATAGGATGTCATGATAAAGATGTTTGGTATTAGTATATAATCATGATAAGACGTGAAAGTCTTATAGATTGAAATGTGCATAATTTATCAAGTCTATTCTTACTATTGTAAAAATTGCAAATTTATTGTCCATTCCTACTCTATTTAATATCAAGGATCTGAATTCTGCATCCTGAATTCCATATCCTCTCAAATGATGATTGATATCCATGAACACAAGAAAAGTTTACCAATATTCACATGTAGCTTTTTACTAAAATCACATTTTTTAGGAAGGAACTTTTAAGAATATATTTAAGACAAGCAATTCACAATTTAATTGTAATTAAATTTAGTTATAATTTAATTATTGGATTTGTTCTACAATTAGTTTCTTTTTCATATCACTTTGTTGGATTTCATGGCTGAATTTGGCTTTTATTAACAAATTTAACATTTTTCTTAAATCAGGTTTGAACACAACAGCTAATATCTTTATGAGATTATTTTAGTTGTTTTGGTAATTACTTTGAGATTTCTTCATATGGCTTTATTTGGACCTATCTTCAGCTCAGGGTTGAAATTTGGTAACACTCAGTTGTCAAACATTTTTTCTATACTTAGTTGTATATTTTACTCAGGTCTTGTGAAAATGAGTAAAATAATTCTTGTCCTAATTTTCAATGGAACAGGAAGCAAGTTCATAAATACACATTTATGATCAGTGTGTTAAATCCTATAGCTTAGTAGGCCCCTGTAACTGGCACTAATTTTGTCTCTAAAACGTTTGCTTTCTAAGTAAACTACCCAGAAGTGTTACATGCACCTTACCCAGCATGTCCCAGGCTAAGCTGAATATGTTTTCTCTACCTGCATCCCAGAACGTTCCAGTTCCAGTTCTGGCACTCCCTTTCTTATCTAATCAATAATCACCATTCCTGTTGACTTTACACCTGAATTTTCTCAAGGCTGTTCCTGCCTTCCCTCTAACCCCATTGCCAGAGCTGAAGTTCAGACCCTTATCTGTCTCTTGCAGCATTCTCTTAACTCTTGACATACCCTCTCCTCCCTTGACGTATCCAATTCATTGTCTTCTCTGTTACCTGAATTATTTTTCTGAAGTAGATCTGAATGAGTCACCTCCCTATTTAAAACCTTTGGTAGCCAACTTCAATTTCTAATTATGGTATGTATGACCTGTTGTTCATCCTAGCCAATCTGTCAAGCCACGCCCTCACAAATTCTTTTACTATGCATATTGACCTAATTTTGAGTACCTATGATACTGGCTATATGAAGCCTTTCTAACTTTTTTCTGGAATCTCACCCCTCTCTTTCACCTCCCATGAGAGCACCAAAACTCTTAAGAGATTATTTCCAATGACTATTACTTTGCAAACCGAAGTCTCACTGTGGCCAAGTCATACTGTGACCCACATGAGCCATGATCCCAGAACACAGTGGCTCAGTTGTATAGTGACCCAAGTACATGGTGATCACCATGTATGTATTGACCAAAGCATGCTGGGCACTCTGTGATCCAAGTACATGGAGACAGAGCCCCACAATGACCAAGGCCTACTGGTTCTTGGCACAAATGGGTTATGCAAAAGCTCCTGTGCCAAGAACCAGGATTACAGCAAATGATTGTGCATTATTACCAGAACCTCCCTTTGCTGATTTCTCTAGGCTGCCTCAAATTGGACTTAACCTCAGCCCAAGTGTTTCTAAATAAGTACTACAGATTTATACTTCTAATGCAGGAGGAGTGGGTTCTACATGTAGAAAAGAGCTATTAAAACTAGTTACTATTTTTTTGTAAATGAAGGCTATTAGAAAAGAAAATTTGAAGGGGTTTCTTGTTTTTTCTTTAATCTCCCCTCCCCTCAAGGGAAAAATAAAGCCCACCTTTTAGAGCCAGGTGTTCTTTATAGTTAAATGATAGTTGCAGGGAGAAGCTAAGCTCACTGGACTTTTCACAAATTAATAAAAGTTTATACTAGCTTTGTTAACATCCATAATTTTAAATACACTGCCTAAAAAGAAAAAGAAAAACATGGTGTCTATGTCCAATTCTGTTTTGCAAATCTCTCATGTCTACAGGTAGGTTGGCAATTTGGTAGTCTGAAGTGGGCCTGGGCTCACCTCCACCCTCACCCCACTTCATTCCTACAGATGCTAATATAAATCAATTAGGGGCTGACACAGCAATTGGCTGCCTGACAAATGTTCCATAAT